GTGAAAGCTGTGATTCAACAGATGGTGATTCCTCTTAGGCAAGACTAAAATCAGAGTGCTGCCAAGACATTCATTGACTGATCTTTTAATATGCTTTTTCTTCAAACCAGACACAAGAACAGGGAGTAAAAAAACATTGTTCTTTGTTTCTCAGAGTTTTGAGAGAAGAAGAAAATTGCTCAAGACAATGGGTTAATTTAGAAATCCACTAACCTGTTGATGAAGATCTGCAGTGTTTCACTTAAGAAACACGTGCATTTCACAGGTAAGCAATGTGTTCCTGACACATACTTTGCACATGGTGACAGTGGTCACCATACAAGGAGCTAGTGGGCTAGGATTCTCCACCCTGGAGAAGAGACACCTTTGGGAAGCTTGATGGCATGGATAGGAACAAATCTCCACTGTCTCTTCAGATATTCAAAAACGAGGAGACATCAATGAAGATAAGAGAAGCTGGGTTCTAGCTAGACACTCCCTACAGACCACAATGCTCCTTGCTGAAGGATTTTCTAGCTGCAGAAAATTCTCAAGGAAGACTGAATGAGCATTTAGAAGAAAGATCTATTGATAGTCACTAACCGGATAAACAACACCAGGTTCACAAAATCCCTAAAGTGAAAACACACAAAGGCTGGGAGAGTATACAGCAGAAGTATCATGCCTCATCCTTCTGCTTCCCTGGTGTCTGCTTTGGGGTTTGGCTTGCTTTTAACGAGCCAGCTCATTCTGTACTTGTTACAACACTACCAATCTGTTCTTGTGCACATTACAAGGGCTGAAACTGGCCCCTCAGCACCATTCCTGCCCAGGGGGATATGGTAAGTCCCACCAGCCCACTCCTAACCATGCTTCCTGTATACTAGAAGCACTTGTACAAGAACTAGACCCTCTTGCTGAGTTTCTCACAGTTCAGCTCTGAGAGGATCTCCCACCATCTCTTCGTGCAGCTGTGCCTCTGCAGCTCTTTCTCTTGGCAGCCCCATGACCACCCAGCAAGGTCCATAGGATAGGCACAGACAATCACAGGCTGAGGGATTTCTAGACTGACCAACCTCTTCAGCAACAGTCACTCCTTCTCCTGGAAGAGACCCCATGGCTAACATTCCTCATGACCTGAGCAGCAGGAGGCCACAGCCCAGCAGACCCATCAGTAGCAGACACCATGGAGCTGCTGCAGCCACCCGGCTTCCTTACGGAGCATGTGTGCTTCCTCACCTGCTGCTTCCTCACCTTCCTACCTGTATGTTAGGTAGGCAGGGCTTTCCTGAGCTTGGACCAGATGCTTCCCAGAAAGCACCCTTTCACATGCTAACAATGGCAAACCATTAGAAGTAAGCTTGGGTCCATTGCTGGAGACGGGGAGCAGGCAGATGCCTGGTCTGAACCAGTCAGATAGTTTGTACATATGTTACTTAAAAGGCACAGACCTCACTGACACTCAGGGTCATGCATGTGGGGTGCTGAGTGCCTTTGGATGCTTGAGAATTGTGTTTTGAAAATGGAAGAAATATTGTTGAATAACCTTACAATCCAACCAGCTTTCTATGCTGAAGTAACAGACCTCATTCTACCCTACCCTGTCCTGCATTTCATACCCACCCTGCATATGTGACTGTGTAAGATTTAAATCAATGGAGAAAATCAGGCCTCATAGTTATACCTGTTCATTGAATAATAGCCATTGCGAAACCTGTAGTTATAACTTAGTTATAGCTATATTTATAACTGTATTATTTATAACTGTACTTATAACTAACAGTATGAGGAAAGAGTATCTCTTACTTGATAGTAATTAATGCAACAAGCAGGCCTTATCATTAGTTTTCTGGAGGCAACACAGGAAAGCTGGTTTACCTTCTTTTACATCAAGTCCTGCCTGACCTTATCCCTGCAGTACAGTGTAAGTGTAAGATTAAGATGGTGCGTTAAGCCTACGGTTCCACCAGACAGTAAAACAGCCCCCCCCAGCATCAGGTTAAAAATGCCACAGCCAGGAATCATCATGAGTCCTGAACTGCCAGCTTCTAAATGACCGCAACACCCTTCTTCTGTACAACCTCTTGATTCTTACACTGGTCATCTTCCTTGTCAGCGAGCATAGCACCTTTTCCCATAGAAGCTGCTTTCCCATCCTAAAACTCTGTGTTGATTCTCCACATATGCATTGCAACCCTCCCTGCCACTAGTCTTCCTGCTAATGCTGTCTTCGGTGCTGGCACAGATACACCTGCTACTTGCCTAAGATTTCTATTTTAATAACTGCAACTATTAAGAAAACCTGCTGAATACCATATGATGTTCGCTTACACGTGCCTTACAGAAGTCTGATCAGCAAGTGCAGATTGTGGGATTCTCTGATATAAAAATCTTGAAAACTGCAGCAAACTGTACGAAACAAATGTAAATAATTACAAAGTTACTGAACTGATTTAGTGAATATGATTTAGTTCAGCTGATTAAAGATTAACTAGAACCTAACGACATAGCTTTCATCCTGCCACCATGCCTTACACCAGAAAAGGTTATGGATGCACAAGATACTAAGACAGCGCTGCAGCTCTTTTAAACTAAGTTGCTGTGGTTACCACAGCCAGAGAAAAAAAAAAATTACTCTTGTGAGAGTGGGAAAGATCTTATTTTACACCATGATAAAACACATAGTGCTTTCTGACACCCTTAGGCTTCTTGATTAGCATTACTGAACATAAGGGAGCATAAGCTCATGATTTTAGATCTACAAGTTTGAAGTTCAGTTCTGTAGTAATACAGGAGCATTTCAAAAACTATAAATCTCTGGAGCTCTGTAGAGCTGCCCAGACAGTAGAGCAGTTTCAACCACGCTATCACAGTGTATGTCTGTTACTCAGAAATAGCTGCAGACACAAGTCTCTTAAGACTTGTGAGCTAACTCAGCTGGTCCTTTAGCTTAACCATAAACAACGTATCGATTATTCCAGCGAAGACGGAAGGGTGTGTATTTTGGCTTCTGGATGGACTTTCATAACAGCAAACATTACACTTAGTCTGTATAAACAGCTACAGTGGCTGCAAGAAGAAAAAAAAAATAATTATGACATTAGGGCAGTGGAGTAGTGTGTTTGACCTGGATCTCAGAACAAGAGAAGAAGTAGGGAACTCACTTCAACTGATCATTTCTGCTCATGCTTTCCCTTTCCTTGGAAGCCTGGGAGAGAGGTCATGCTGTGGCTTTTTAGCCTTGATGAAGCCACGTATGGAATAGCTATGGTTTTTGAAAATTCCCGATGTTTTATGAAGATGGTGTTATGTAATAGCAAATCTGAAGGCAGAGCTGAAGGAAGGGTGCAGAGGAAGCAGGAAAACAACAGACAGACCTCTCGTTGCAGGGAAGATTGTAATACCTGACCTGGAGTACCAGCACATTTCCAGAGGAGGTTGCATGCAGCTCATTTTGGGGCCTGATTGTTAATGCAAACCTCTCCTGGGGATTCACTCTCTTTGGGTGATGCTACATTTCCCTTTTTCTCTTCTATTAACTTTGTAAAGGTGATCAAGTGTTAAAGGAAGAAAGGCTTTCCTAAAGCATTTCACAACTTCTCTTACCTTCCAGGAGGTAGCCTGAAGCAATTTCAGCACAGCAGCTTCTTGTTCTGGAGTTACCCGTTCCTTCCTTCGTACACCCAGGAGAATCAATCCTGCATTAAAAAAAGAAAAGAAAAAAATGGGAGATTCCTGTGAACCTGCCATCCAGACAAATTACTGAGATGACATAGTTGTAAAGGTTTTCATCTTTCTCTCACAAACTTCACATCACATACCATTTCAGGTCAGTCCCCAAAGCTTTTATTTCTCGCTCTGACACATACTGAAATACTATTTTAATTCAACTTATACTGTCATGCAAAACATCTGAGCCTTTGTTAAACAAGAGTACTTGTCCAATTTTCCAAGCACTCAGCATCACTTTGAAGTCACAATCAAGTCTTTGTGTGATAAACTGGATGAGACTGGCTCTTTTAACTTCAGAAGTAATAGAAATGCCAATTTGATGGAGAATTTTTCTGTTCTCAACGAATCTTTTTCTTCCAATGTTCTGATAAGCAACTACATTAATTCAGTGCTCAAAACAAAAGTACCAAACAGCCTCAGTGAAAGCATTGTGCCAGTCTCAGTCTGAATCAGACCTGATCGTGCTTCACTACCTTAGAACATGCAGGGTCTCTTGTTCTTTTGTGAATACTCTATTTGTGCATAAATTCTCACAGAAACGAAAAACAAGGTAGAGAGCACCTAAATACATGCAGCAGAGAAGCTTCAGAGCTCTTTTAAAAACACGGGTTAAAAAAAAAGGGAAAGAAAATTAGCAATATTTTTTTTTTTCACTGGAAGTGACCTTACTGTCATTTTCTTACCTCTTATCACTGTGGAGTCGTTGAGCATCTCACACACATCAGTACATGCTCCTATTCTCAGTACTGTAGAGAGAGGTAAGCTGAAATAATGTGGTGAAACATGCTAGTTCAAATACATTAAAAGAAAGCTGGAGCTACTCTCTACAGTGCTGTTTTTACTGGCCAGCACAATTTGGTTTTACAAATATAAACAGGGCTACCAGAAAAAATCTCTCCTGTACAAGGTGCCATATTTGATGCCTTGTCTGCTAATTGCACCTTCCTCACTGTTGCAAAGGGAAAATATATGGCATTTGGCTGACATTTCAACCTTAAACAGCCCTCAGAAGGAGTTAATGGGAGAGGATTCAGCACAGAAACAGTAGGAGTATCAATTTTACACTCTGTCACTCCCACTCACCTCCACCAGAGAGTGCAGCCTAACCACACTCCAGCATCCAGCCTGTGAAATCCGTCTGTAAAGAAGTTGTGCTTCTAATATTCAGCAGCAAGAGCAAGACAGCTGACCTGGCAATGTGGTTGCAACAAAGGAAATTCTCACTAGATACAAGAGAAAATTCTTCCCGGTGGGGGTGGTGCAATGCTGGGGCAAGGAGTCCAGGCACAATGACAAAGCCCCCTCCCCAGAGGTATTCCAAATGCAGCCAGACAAAAAAGGTCCTGTGCAACCACATCCAGCCTGTAAATGGTGAGCCCCGGGGGTTGGACTGGAGACCTCCAGAGGTTCAGCTAAATTACCAGATGTTATCAATCAAAGTTTGCACTCAACCCAACACAGAAAAAAAAAAAACCCAACCCAAACAAAAAAACATAAAATGCTCATCAGCATGAATGCATTTTAAATGTCTTTTGGCCTCAGCATTTTTTTTCCATTATGGTAGTATCTAGGAGATCCACTAAGAGAGCAGAGCTTTACTACAGTAAGTAGCACGGAAGTGCACAATGCACACTGGTTATCATGAGAATGTTTAGGTAAATCCAGTGGATGCACTTCAAGAAGAAACTGAGCTATCACAGCCATCCCTGGATAACGAACTGTGGAAAGAGCTGCTTAGTGCAGCCAAATTAAGCAGACTTACCACAGCCCCTAAGATGATAGCGCTCTTCTCCCTCAGCCACAGATTTCTCCTGCAAATAACACACACTCCTTCCCTCACTCCTGTCTCCAATGGCTCAGAGATCCTGTCCTCCAGATGATGGCAGAAGAGAGTCCAGCTCAGAGATCTTCCCTTTTTACTTGCAGAGCTTCAGCAGCTTCACAGCAGCCTCTGCTGCCAAAGAGCAGAACCAGATCAGAAATGAAGACATGGACTAAGCCTTCGAGTGAGCATTATCGTTTCATGCAGACACCCCCCCACCCCCAAAAATTACCCTACAATGAAAAGACCCAGAAAAAGAAGCCATGATCCATAGTAGGGACAAATCTCCTCTACTTCCACAGTCACCCTTGAAACAGATCTCCTCTTGGGTACTACAGGTGCAAAACAGACTTGAAATACCAGAAGCTCCCTGTTTCCAAGGAACAGTACCATACCAGAGTACAAACGCAGCAGGGCTGGACTTTTGAGGTTGTTGCTATTTTTCTCAGCTTAATCCTGATACGGTTCCTCAACCAATGGCAGGTTTAATAAACGTCATTACTTATTAGAAAATAATAATATGCTTAACTAAAAAAAAATAACATTAGTAAATCAACTGTTTGATTTGAAAGAAAACTCTCCTAGCTCAGTTCAGCACAATACCATCATCCACAGCTGCACCGTCACTTACATGTTTGCTGGAGGAAAAGTGTGGGTTTATTTGTCTTTTATCATTGTGTTAGTTGGTTTGTTGTACTGTCCCGCTGTTGATACAGCCGATGTCAGGGCAGATGAGAAAATAGAAAATAATTTTAATGGATATGGTGCCAACACCAGCTCCAAGAAAATGCAACTCTGAACTGTAAGTTGGTGCTATTGAGTACCTTTCAACACCTGGCTCTACATAACCCTTCTCCTTATTACTCTGAATTTTTACTTTATTAGGTAAAAAACTGTGCTTCAACTTTAGAAAGAACAAAGAAGGTGTAAGCATGCGTCCTCTGAAATCCCTGGGAAATATTCCCTTTACACTAAACGAAGTCCCACAAACTGGTCAAGGTACTAAAAAATCATAACTGTGAGTATAAAACCAGCAATGCCACACACGAGTGAGCAATTCCCTTCGGTTCATAGGATAGCTCAAGAAAATATATCTTTACTCCTATTCCAGCCATCCCTGGACCTGTACAAGCCTTTACTCACACAACGACTCTGCAGCCTCAAAGAGCTGTACTGACCAAACCGAATTATTTGGTACTGCTACGCAGCAACACTTTATGGGCGCAAGGACAGCAAACTCCCGCTACCGAGGCCGCACCGGCCGGACTGCGGATCCCGAGCGTTCCCTCCCGCCCGCAGCA